AAAAGTCCGCATCTCATTTTTATTTCATTTTCCTTCTCAGACGCAGATGGGCTTCCACACCGCCTCCACTTCCAACCGCCCACCAATCTAGCCCCAAGCCCCTACGAGGAGGACTGCCCAGTGGACGCCAGAAGATAATCGAGTCTTCATTACTGCCTGTGAGACAGTCATAGCCAACATGCACTGTAATGGAAAGTGCTTCACGAAACATGGCTACACACACTCGTCCAATTGTTCAACGCTAATTCGTGGCACGATTGGAGTAGTTGAAGAATCATAAGGATTATCTTCGAGTCAAGTATAAACGTCTCTAGGAGTTGATATACTGCACCGACATTGCATACGACTCTGCACGAGGATGCCTAGTTGCCTCCGATGAGTGGTGGGCGCGAAAGATTAAGGTACAAAGCTACTTGAATTGCCACTTTCCAAATTTGGATGTCAAACAACACTATAGTATTCATTTTATTTGTGCTAAGAACTTGTAATCAAACATGTCACAATTCGATCTTCATCTTTGGGCTATAGTATTTGGAAGACTATTAGCAGATAATTGCATAACCTTCTCATAGAAAAAATGAAAGGAGCATATGTTATAAAATTCAGTTGTGTACTTCCATATTTTAATTCCTTACCCTTGCTCCTGACTCGTTGTGCCTTTCTTTTTCTTCCACTCCGAACAAGAGAATAAGGAATACAGAGAGATATACGCCTACCTGTTCTGTTCTACAATGCATTCGATAATGAGAAGTATGCAACGACATTGACGAAATTGTGTAGGACCAGGTTCGCCATGTTTGAAGACAGTGCAAACAATGACACAGGCGACACAACGCCGATATGCAAGGAGAGCAATGACTCCAGTGATGAGGGTGACAAGTTAGACAGGCCCGCATCAAGCTGGATGTCTCCGACTGTAGGAGTGGAGAGAAACGTAGATCCAGTGGTAGCAAAAGTAGGGAGAACTAAAATATCAGCAAGGGAATTATCATTCTCATTTGACAGAACCACGACCGCAAGTGAGAAAGTTGCGACAAAACTTGATAACTTAGTCGGATCCAATGTGCCGAAAATGAAGACATCCATGAAGAAGTTGTTCAAGACGGGTAAACTGCAAAAAAAAAAAAAAATTTGATCTCTACTTTTGGATGTGCACGTTTCTGTCTTTAAAGCGAAGTAGAGAGGTTCTGGAGATGCAAGATGATGCGAATGAAAAGATCGATTGGTTGAAGTGGAACTGAAACGAGTACAGGAACGCACAACTACAGTAAGGACTGCATGTGGGGCAGAATAAATTTTCCCTGTGGCGGAGGTTCTCCGCTGTGTGAGAAAATCTTTGCAATATGTTTGAAATGCTGCAACTTTGTCTTTTACCCTCAATAGTGGTAGCACATGCAATGGGTCAAAATTGTCCATTCACCAACAGTTTTTTTAGTTACCGTATGCATTCACGTGTGTGGGACCCGTCTGTGGCCATTTTTAATGGTCATAATTTCACTTCTCAGCATGCCCAGACAAGCGCTTACAAAGATGGAAATTACTGGAACTAATTGATACTTTTCATACTGATTCATATTACTTGAAAGACGTGCTATAATCAATCTACATCCGCACTACAATCATGATATCGAGCATCACGTACCGGATCCAAACAAGGATCCGTTGTTCCGAGATTGCATTGGCGCGATTGATGGGAAACACATCAGAGCTGTGTTGCCTTGGAACGAATGCGTGGATTTCATCAGATGCAAAGGAATCTCTACACAAAATGTTCTTGCAATATGTGATTTCAACCTGTGTTTTATGTCTGTGCTCGCGGGATAAACGAAGACAGCGCATGATTCATGGATTTTGGTATGGGCTATACATAGTCTAAAAATTGATTTCCCGCTGTCGAGTCCCGAAAAATACTATCTTGTGGACTTGGGATTTGCCGACAAACCTAGATACATGGCTCCATATAAGGGGTCTGATATTCTGTACCATTTTCAGCAGTTCTACGACGCTCGAACGGGTTGAAGGAGAAATTTTTGCAATGCGCGTAAGAAATGCAACTTCAAGCACTCATCGTGTAGAAACGTAATCGTACGAGCATTCAGTGTATAGAAAAGTCGGTGGAAAATACTGGATTGTATATAGCGCTACAATTTTAAAGTACAGATCGTAGTTGTAGTGGCGACCAGGGGCATCCATAACTTCCTCCGACGGGCAAGAATCGTCAATGAGGCATTCACGTGAGCTGAGATGGACCCCGAAGCGGCAGAGGTAGAACTGCTGGACAATCATGAACAGGTCCTCACTATAATGAACACACCAGAAGTGCAGCGTAATGGATCGTTTTCATGATTGGTTGGCACAAAGTGGTGGACGCATTTATGTAATCAGTTCAAGTATGGGTAAGCCATATTTTGGTTGTGAATGCTGTATGTTGACATCTATGACAAATTTTCATTTCCGTGTTCAATCAAACTGCATTTAAATTCCGTTTGCAATGGTACATTTCCGGGCATTGGGTGGGCCCACTGTGTGAGAAAAATCTTTGCAATATATTTGAAACGGTGCAACTTTGTCTTTTACCCTCAACAGTGATAGCATATGCAATGGGTCAAAATTGTACATCCACCAACACTTCTTTTAGTTTCCATATGCATTCAGGTGTGTGGGACACGTCTGAGGTCATTTTCAATGGTCATGATTTCACTTCTCCGAGTGCCCAGACAAGCGCTTACAAAGGTGGAAATTACTAGAACTAACTGATACTTTTAATACTGATTCTTATTACTTGAAAGACATACAACAATCAATCCATGTTTGTAAATGCTTTGTTTTGTTTTGTTAATGTCACATGTCTAACTAGTCTCCTATTAAAATTTTTAAAAAAGATGCTCATCGTACAAAATTAATGTTTTGCAATTTTGTTAAAACGTACTCTAGGAAAATTTAGACAAAGTTTGTCAAGAAAGACTAAATTGTCTAAGTCCTTGTTTGACACACTTTAAAATTTTAATAAATTTTTTTCTCTCTTCTTTTTAGCTACACATTATTCAATAAAATAATATTCTGCGTAAATCAAAAAAACTTCCTTCTTTTTAACCACATATTAACCCAAAAAATAATATTCCATAATACATTTTACCAAAATTTCTCTTTATAATGGGGCTTAAACAATGGCTAAATGGATCAAAAACTCTCATCAACTTTAATTAATTTGGCGATAATGTCCACGAGATTCGAAACTCGTAAAAAAAAATGAAAGAGCCTTGACATGTACATGAAAGAAACAAGGAGGTCAACCCTTTTCAAATAGACAATATGGATTCTGATGGTGAATTACATTGAGCCCCCATTTGGCCCCCCGTTTTTTCAAATTAAAATTGGTGGAATGGTATTTTTTTGAAGAATGAGTATTTGGAAAAGAAGGAAAATTTTTCGATTTATATGTAATATTATTTTATTGAAAAAATGAAATTAAATTTAATGGGGGCCAAGTGAGGGCTGAAACCTAGCCCTATATAGGAATGTTGTACCTACAAGGCTCTATAAGAATTCAATTGGCTGCAATATTTTTTAGAAAAATTTCAAATAGATGAAAAAAATTAGTTCAAATAGGTATCTCAAGGTTCATTATTTTTATAGTCTTAGTTGAATGTGTGTAAGAATGGATTACAGATTCTCATCAACTCTTTCAAATTCGATGGTGATGCCTAGTTGGTTCAAAATTAGTGTAAAAATTAAGGGAGAGAAATTGGTAACAATTGGGAGTAGGAAATGGTATATTGGCTAAAAAAGTAAAAAATCCTTTAGAAAATGAATATTGTTGGGCGCATTTTACTTTCCGTTTCTAAAGTGAATTAATCTAATTTCCACTAATTTTATCTTGTTCCACCTAATATTTCTGTTAATCTATAAAATGAACTTAAAAGATAGAAAAACTTAAACAAAATCAATATTTCTGTTAATCTATAAAAGATACTGAGAAAGACTTGCACAAAATCAATAATCGGCGACCAAGTTGAAATAAAATGAAGTTCAAAAAGTAGGAATAAGACAACTTTGGCGACCAACTTGTAATTTCACACAAAGTTGGGCCATCCACAATATTTTTAACTCAATTAACACTAAGATGGTATGTTAAAAACCTCGATGCACTGCAAGAATGATCTGTCATCTACAAACAAGACGAACTTCTGTGGTAACAAAGGCAAAATCATGCAAATCAAGAGTGATCAAGTTTGTGCTTCAAGAATGGACCGAGCTCATGCCGTGAGAGAATTCTCCCTCATCTTTTACAATAGTTTTCTTCATGTTTTTCTGTATTTAATTTTGGTTCCAGCATTGAATTTAAACTGAAGGAGATGATGAAGAATAACTAATTTAACTGTCCATCTTCACGTGCTGTCCAGCTACAAATTAACCTTACTCATTTCATTAAACGAAATCGCTTGCTCATAAAATTGCAACTGTCCCCTTTGGAAATTTGTGACTTTGCAATAGTTGAGGCAATGTCTTCAGCACTTAATTAAACACATAAATGCAAGAGGGACGGGCCAAGACAGCGAAGGACTGTGGTGGGCGTCCCAGGCATATAGAGGAGCTGTGACCCAGTTCAACTCAGAATTTCAAACGTCAACACACAATTATACAGTCGATATTTTCATTGAAGTTAAATTGACAATTCTGAACTGATTATTCCAGCTCAATAATCAAGTTAAGTCAATGGAAACAGAAAGAGGAATAATCAAAATTTCATAGAATGGTCCCATTTCTATATTAATCTCATTCACATTGACGATTGACCGGGCCTATCCATATGATGAAAATAATGGTCCTAATAGGAAATAAGCAGGTATAGAATTTTTTGAAGCATACCGTTGACCTCATAATACTTCAGTTCAAGTCAAGAACCTTATCTCATATGCATAAGTCCAACTCAAGAGAGTAACGTGTGTATAAATTCAGTCCTCATATTTAGACAATACGCATTCAAGATATCTGTTTCTTGCCTTAACGTGTCCATTCTACTAAGCAAAAGAAACAAGCAAGAGAGAGAGACACAACTAGAACCATGAAGATCTCAAATAAAGATTTTCCCTTACTTTTTGCCTTTACCTTTATTATATCCATTCACAGAATTTCCAGTGCAATCGATACTATAACTACTCTTAGCGATGGTGAGACTATGGTTTCATCTGACGGAACCTTTGAATTGGGATTTTTTAGTCCTGGAAATCCCAATAATCGATATGTGGGCATATGGTACAAGAGGATAAAAGTTATGACTGTGGTATGGGTTGCCAACAGAGAAGTTCCACTTACAAACACATCAGGACTCTTGAAAGTTATCAATCCAGGACTTCTAGTTCTGCAAAATGACACTAATGGTGTCATCATATGGTCTTCTAACACATCAAGACCTGTGAAAACTCCGGTTGCAAAGTTGTTGGCCTCGGGAAACCTTGTTGTGAAAGATGCAAATGATGATGACCCAGAGAATTTCCTTTGGGAGAGTTTTAATTGTCCAACTGATACATTATTACCAGGAATGAAGTTTGGTTGGAACTTTAAAACTGGTCATGAAGTGTATCTATCATCATGGAAGAGCAAAGATGATCCAGCTTCAGGAGATTTTACATATCACTTTGATCCTACAGGTTATCCACAACGTGTCTTGAAAAGAGGTTCGTATGTGACATTCAAAAGTGGACCTTCGATTAGTGGGACGCGAAACTTGAGGAAAAATCCTTTTTACAAATACAAAGTAGTTCTGAACAAAAATGAAGCATACTTTACATATGAGATCCATAACAAATCAATTATTTCAAGGGTAACATTGAGTGAGAGTGGTGTTTCACAGCGCTTGACCTGGGTTGATACGACGCAGGGGTGGGTGGGTTCTATTACTTCTGCAACAGATAATTATGACATATATAGATTGTGTGGTGCTTATGGTAGCTGCAATGTTGCAAGTTCTCCGGTCTGTGTATGTTTAGATAGATTTTTGCCTAAAGATCCAGATGGTTGGAACAAGACAAATTGGTCGAGGGGGTGTGTTCGCAGAACTCCCTTGAATTGTACAAATGGAGATGCATTTCTCAAGTATTCTGGTATTAAGTTACCCGACACGCGATATTGTAGATTTAACGAGAGTATGACACTTGAGGAATGCAAGGTAGAGTGCCTGAAGAATTGCTCTTGTATGGCTTATACTAACTTAAATATAAGCACAGGGGGAAGTGGATGCCTACTTTGGTTTGAAGAACTAGTTAACATAAGAAAATTATCTCAAGACGGACAAGATATCTATATTAGAATGGCTTCTTCCGAACAAGGTAAGAATTCAATAAACAAAAAGCTTATTATTATTCGACACATGTTTATTGTAGTCTTATTTTCTTTTAAAGATGATCTGTGTGCTCCTCACTTTGAAGGTTCGTTTCATCCCTTAGAAACCATCCATTTATATTTGCATATAAAATTTTGCAGAGCTAAAAGGAAGAAAAAGAGAAATTCTTGAAGTAAGTTTGTCACTATTGACAGGAATGGTTCTTCTTGGTCTGAGTTTAATGCTTTATCTGCAAAAAAGGAAGAAGAGTAACCACCGGCAGAGAATTAGAGGTGGGCAAAATCTACAATTATATAATGAAATGTTCTTTTTCATTTTTGCACGTTCGTTATGTTAAAGTAGACCACACCTAATAGGATTGAGGAAGAAAAATGAGTGAATTCATTTGTCATAATGTGTAGTGTTGTTTACTGTTTACCAAACTTGGAGAAACCAAACTACATCGTTAAATCTTTTGATCTAAAAGTTTAAGTTGTTAGAGAGAGTCACATGTATATCATTGAGATATGATCACGTGTTTATCAATTAAATATGATTTTCAACATGTCCTGTAGTCACACTTTCATTTTTCGATCAAAGCCTAACATGTAGATGATTTATTTTAAATAGATGGTGATGAAACTTAAGCCGAGGACATTTGCTTGCTCTAATACCATGTTGAACCACTTAATATAAAATCTTAATATGTTAGATAGGGCTACATGTATATTATTTAAATACGATCTTCAACTTATGTGAATGGAAGTCTTCTTTTGCTTTGCATTATTAAGTTAGATCCATTTCATCTTTCATGTTTCAGGCAAGCTTCAACACAAACATACGGGTGATCACAATGATGAAAATCACAACGAAAGCATAGAGCTACCACTGTTTGACATGCATGCAATAGCTAAAGCTACCGATAATTTTTCAATAAGCAATAAGCTCGGAGAGGGTGGGTTTGGACCTGTTTACAAGGTAATGGGCAGTTTTTGCTTGGATATAACAGGGCAGGCACTACAGTGGGGATTGACGCTTGCTCAACATACAATGAACACATGTTGCATATTAAGGGGGGAAAAACTAATTTTTATAAAAAAAAAAATTGGAATAAAGATCAACATTTTTTCTCTTATTGCAAAATGAGCTTTCTATATGCATCTTTATTTTACTTGTTTCATAAACTATTACTCTTACTTTGCATGTGCAGGGAACTCATTAATACACATAATGGCATCAATGTTTCACTAAATCACATATGAAAAGTATATTGCAATTGAGCGAATGACTGACTTTTACATACACATGTTCTGAAACAGGGCGTGCTGGAAGAGGGGCAGGAAATTGCTGTCAAACGACTATCAAGAACTTCCCACCAAGGACTTGTTGAGTTCAAGAATGAAGTTAACTGTATTGCTAAACTTCAGCATCGAAATCTTGTGAAGCTTCTAGGATGTTGTATTCACGGAGAGGAAAAGATGTTGATTTATGAATACATGCCTAACAGAAGTCTGGATTTGATTCTATTTGGTAAGAAATATTCATCTTGCACTATTAGCTCAATGGAAATTCTATCAAGGGTAAGGGTTACACATAATGACATAATGGATATTAATAGACGTTTTTCAATTCCATAAGCAAATGTAAAATAGAGCACATAACTTTATCTTTTTGTTGCGGATGCAGTTTTAAGCAACTGATGCTTGAAGATATTTAGTTATATACTGGAAATGATTTCTAAATTCTGAGTATCCGACAAACAAATTATTCTCACAACAAAGAAAAACTTTTGGCAGATTTAATGGGCAGTGCACTGCTTGATTGGCCAAAGCGCTTCCACATTATAAATGGCATTGCCAGGGGCCTTATGTACCTTCATCAAGATTCCCGTCTTAGAGTCATCCATAGAGACCTCAAAGCCAGCAACATTTTGCTAGATTCTGACATGAACCCAAAGATATCAGACTTTGGAATGGCTAGAATTTTTGGAGGGAATGAGACTGAAGCAAACACAAGTCGAGTAGTTGGAACATAGTAAGAATCTCAATGCTATAATATAAGAAATATTCTTCTATTCATTACCCAACCACTTAATTTCTTGGAAATTTTTTCCGTGTAGTGGTTACATGTCACCAGAATACGCAATGGATGGCTTATTCTCGGTAAAATCAGATGTATTTAGCTTTGGCGTTCTAGTGCTTGAGATTGTAACTGGCAAAAGAAACAGAGGATTTTCTCACAGAGATCATCACCATAACCTTCTTGGACATGTGAGTACAGTGTATTTATTTCTATGATCTCTCCATTGGAATCTGTCCTTTTGGCACTTGAATTCTGATAATTGCTTTCTTAAATGAGTTCAACTAGAGCAGGCATGGATGCTTTATAGAGAAGGAAGGTCTTTGGAATTAGTCGATGCTAACCTTGGCATCTCAGAATATTTATCAGAAGTGCTGCGATCAATTCATGTGGGACTGTTATGCATTCAACAATGTCCAGAAGATAGGCCAAGCATGTCTTCACTATTATTCATGTTGGGGAATGAAGGTGTGTTGCCTCAAGCAAAACCACCTGGTTTTTTCACTGAACGAGATTTATTTACTGCTGGAAGTTCAACCAGCACAAATGCAGCGAGTTCAATAAACCAAGTGACCATTACACTGCTAGAAGCTCGATAATAAGTTACATTAGTTTCCCCAATAGTACTTTATCATTCTTTTTTCTACCAGTATACCAAATTGTATCTCTCTTCCATTATATGCATTAATTCTTCTACATTAATTTCAATTGTTGGTGGAATCAGATGCACTTACAAATCATTTCATAATTTCAAGTCAAAGATTGTTTATATAATTTACCGACAGCCAGTTGCATGAATCCATGGCATACATAATGTTGGAAAAGTAGTAGAATCCTAGGCAATAAAATTTTTACTCTTTCCACAGAACTGTACGTAAGATATTCACTAAAAATTATATTGACTATTAACATAATCAATCACACTAAAGGATTGTGGAATTTACCCTTGCACCGTGATTGAACTTCAAATCTTGAATTCTTTACTTGTACAGCAGCTTGTTCTGATCACATTTATGAATCTTGATCTTCAATTTTTGTGCTTCCAACCCTCAAATCTTCTTTAATGTGTTTCTAAATTACTGCAGTTTGTGTTTGGGGCATCCCCTAGCCCTCTATTTACATGGCTAGGTCTTTTTCTTTGTTTCAATCCATCTATACTTCTATTATTAGTGTAATTAAGTTAATAAGTTTTACTGAAACTACCAAATGGACTTAACCAACTTATACAAATTATGCTGTGACAACTATACACAATTTTGAGCTAATTCGAATCTACCCAATATAATCGCTGGTTTTCTACTTTCTCCACTAAGAACGAGAAAATGAGCTCATAAATTATATAATCACAGAAGCATTACAAATTAATTCTTTGCTATTTATATCTTCTTGACTTATCAGCTGTATTAGCTCCATCGGATGTCAAACAACTAGACGAGGATGAAAGGACATTTTGCCTTCTAATTAATTTTACCCTTGTGGCTGCCATTTTCATAAATACTTTTGTTGGTCTCAGGATTATTCTTTTCTAAAAAATCACTTGCAGAAAAATCATAAAAAATTACAGAATCGTAAAGAACACAAGTATTTTTCGCCCCTAAGGGCCCGGATGTTTAGCCAAAGGCCTACTCACCCGTTGAGCATCTACAAAAGTAGATTAGGCTTGAATCCACTAAGAATCACAAAGAATCGATACAAGAATGTATGAAGAAACTGTCGTTTCTTCAATAACAGATTTCTATCACCTCTCTTTAACATAACACTCAGTTTCTACAATCTCACAGATCATATACCATATACAACCCTAACATCACTCAGATTAGAGATTGCTTTCAGAAATTAAAAGAACAAGAAGAATTCAGAAAACCCCCAGAGAGAAGACGAAGAAAACCCTAGAACCATTCACTCAGAGATTAAAGTGAAAATGAAAAGGCACGATCCCTTTTAACAGACCACCAAAAAATCAACAATCCAACGATCACAAAGTTGCCAGGTGTATGGTCCACAGAACTTGCAATTTGAAAGGAAAAAAATGCATTTATGAACAATGCCTTTTATTTCCCAAAAAACGATTCAACCCGGCCAGGCCCAATGTTTCTCAAGTTGGGCCAACCAAGAATAGGGAGGTAGCCCAATCAACAATCTCCACCTTGCTGATCTATTCTTGGTATTTTTTTGTGGATTCAAACTTAGACTAATTTTTGTTTCATTTGCTCTATAAAACCTGTAAAAAGAAAATGAAAAGTAGTCAGTTGATTTTTCCAAAAATAACCAATAAAATTCAAATATCAAATTGAATTCATTACCTTCAGAGTATGTTCAGAATTTTCAGACAATTTCTAAACTTGTTTAGAGGTAAAACCTTAGTACCAATATCAGAAGGATTAAATTCAGTTTGGATTTTAACCAAGTTAATTAATCCCTTTTCGACCATATTTCTAACAAAATGAAATTTAATATCAATATGCTTAGTCTTATCATGATATACAAGATTTTTACTCAAATGAATTGCACTCTGGTTATCAGTACAGATTCTAACTGTTTCATTCATGAAACCAATTTCATTTAATAACCCCCTTAACCACAGACCTTCTTTAACGGCATCACTTGCTGCAATATATTCAACTTAAATGGAAGATAAAGCTACAAGTTTTTGTAGTTGGGACTTCCAACTAACACAACCATCACAAAGAGTAAACACATAGGAGGAGGTTGATCTTCTTTTATCTAAATCTCCCACAAAATCAGGATCTGTATATCCTTTTAGGATAATGCCTTCATTATACCTTTGGAATTTTAATCCTAGTTCAATTGAGCCCTTTAGATATCTTAACATCCATTTGATTGCTAACCAATGTGTTTCACCTAGATTTGCCATAAATCTACTTAGCATGCTTATACCATGAGCTAAGTCAGGTCTTGTACATATCATAAGGTACATAATAGAGCCAACAACATTTTGCATAGGGTATCTTACTCATTCTGTCATATTCTTCATCAGTTTTAGGTGAATGTTCACTAGAAAGTTTGAAATGATTTGCAATAGGTAAAGTTACAGGTTTACACTCAATCATAGCAAACTTCTCAAGTATCTTATTCACATAAGTATTTTGATTTACATACAGAACACAATTCTTTCTATCTCTATTTATTTCCATGCCTAAAATTCTCTTTGCTTGTCCTAAATCTTTCATTTCAAATTCAGATTTAAGTTTTTCTCTAATAGAAATCATTTTAGATTTATCATGGCAAGCAAAGCATATCATCAACATATAATAATAGATAGAGAGAATCAGGTCCACCTGAACCTTTGAAGAAGAAACAGGAGTCAAAATTACTCTTAAGAAATCCCAAATTTTGAACATAAGAGTAAAATTTCTTATACCATTGTCTTGGTGCCTGTTTCAAACCATATAGAGATTTCTTTAATAAACAAACCTGTTCAGATTTTGTCTTTAGTTCAAAACCTTTTGGTTGGTTCATATAAATTGTTTCTTCAAGGTCACCATTTAGGAAAGCTGTCTTAACATCAAGCTGGTCTAACTCTCAGTTAAAGTGAGCTGTTAAGGCAAGTAAGATTCTGATAGAGGTGTATTTAGCAACAGGTACAAAAATTTCATTATAGTCAATACCCTCTCTTTGTATAAAGCCTTTTGCCACAAGTCTGGCTTTATATCTAATGCCCCCAAGATTAGGTTCACCTTCTTTAATTTTATAAACCCATTTGCAGTCAACAACCTTCTGCTTTTTAGGTCTATTGACAAGAATCCATGTATTATTTTTAGTTAAAGAGTTCATTTCTTCTTGCATGGCTTTCAGCCAGAGTTTGGATTCCTTATAATTTTTAGCTTCTTCAAAGGTTGTTGGTTCAGAATTAACATAAGCAAGTTCAGTGTAGAATGTTACAAATTCATCTACATTAATTCTTGTAGAAGGGAACCTATTTCTTCTAGTTCTGTCTCTAGTCAACGGATAATTTTCAAGGGCAGTATTCTGAGATTGATTTTCAGCATCAGACTCATCTTGAGGTTGATCTATTTCCGATTGAATAGGCTCTACCTCAATGAAATTATCAGGTTCATTAGAGTTATCTTTTGGACCATCCAGGACAATTTATTTAACAGGAAGGGTCATATCTGTATTTCGTGTTGGGAGAATCTTACAAGGGAACTTGCTTTCATCAAAAATCACATTTCTACTGATGATGACCCTGAACCCACCTTTTTCTCTCTCCCATAATCTATAACCCTTTGTTTCTTCACCATAATCTAGAAAAATACATTTTTGAGATCTAGGTTCTAGTTTGCCTACATTTTGATGAGAGTAAGCAACATAGCCAAACACCCTTAATTTAAGGTAATCTGGAGAATTTCCAGACCATAAGTGTTTAGGGATTTGAAAATCAATAGCATTTGAAGGTATTCTATTTATCAGATAAGTGGCAGTTTTTAAGGCCTCTCCCCAAAAGATCTTTGGAAGATCAGAACTAAGCAACATACACCTAACCTTTTCCAATAAGGTTCTATTCATCCTTTCAGCAATACTATTTTGCTAAGGAGTGTGTGTTACTGTTGTGTGCCTCAAGATTCCAGATTCTTTGCAAAGAAGATCAAATTCAAAATTACAAAATTCAAGACCATTATCTGTTCTAAGTGCTTTTACCCTTTTGTTTGTTTGATTTTCAATCATCAGTTTCCATTGTTTAAAATTTTGGAAAGTGTCTGATTTATGTTTTAAAAGAAAAGTCCAAATTTTTCTTGAAAAATCATCTACAATTAGTAAATAAAATCTAAATCCACTTAAAGTGTTTACAGATGCTGGACCCCATAGGTCAGCATGTAAATACTCTAGTATAGAATTTGATTTGTGAATTCCGATTTTAAAAGACAGTTTATTTTGTTTTCCAATAACACAGTCTTTAGAAAATTCTAGTTTTTCAATATTATCCTTTCCAAAACATTTTAATTTGTTTAAAATTGTTAATCCCTTTTCACTTATATGGCCAAGTCTCCTATGCCAAATCAGAGTTTTATTGTCAAGTGATTTTACAATTGCAGAGCTATTTCCAATTAATGGTTTAGCTTGCAGTGTAAAGATTCCATTTGATTTAGGAGAAGAGATTATTTCTGTGCAGTTAAGGCTAATTACAGTTTGTCCTTTATGAATCCTAATTTCATATTCATCATCCAATTGCCCCAAAGAAATCAAGTTTCTTTGAAGATCAGGTACATATCTGATCTGATACAATTCAAGAATATAGTTATTTTCTTGTAACAACTTAAGGTTTCCAATACCCCTTATTTGACAGGTCATATCATTTCCCATCTGAACTTGACCCCCACTATTCAAGTCAGTATAATCAGTGAACCATTCTTTAATGGGACACATGTGGAAAGAACACCCAGAGTCAAGAACCCATTCATTTTGGTTTCTTTTGGTTGTTGTAACAAAAACAACTCCCTGTATATCAAGTTCATTATTGCAGACAACAGCTGCAGACCCATCTATATTTGGTTTACCTTTCATGTCTGATATTTTCTTAAAACAATCCTTTATGAGATGTCCTGTTTTACCACAGTAATAACATTTTCTGGCTGGCAACTTAGGCTTTGATTGATTTCTGTTTTGATTTCTGAGTTTAGGAAATTGAGGCTTTCCCTTCTTGTGTGAATTAAAGTTACATTGATTATTCTTTTTGTTCTGAT